CTCTGTAAATCGAGAAAACTGATAGTATTGCAAACAACTCTTGTCCATAGTCATGCAGTAGATCCTGTCGGGGCGGGGGGGGGGGGGGGGGAGAGATGCTTGATTCCTCTTCCCGCTGCATTACCAGCGTGTTTTTCTCTGAGTCTCATATCATTCTAACGTTTTTGGCACCTATAAATGTCAGGCCTTTCTGAATTCTCCTTTGAAACATTGTCTTGGTTTTCTCTTTAATTAATAAGTTAAACACAATCTTTAACAAGTGTTTATTTTTGACAATTGTGATTTCACTTTTTAAAAAATATATGCATTCAGAGTATAGTTAGCCTGACTCCAAAGCCAACATCCTAATGACAAAATTATACTAACACCTTTACCATGGTAATACGTCAAGTTCATTCTGCACTAACTATATCACAAACACTCTAACACAACAGTGTCCAACCAGCACGCTGCAATAATCTTTAAACCATGCAATATCTGACCACTCAGTCAGGGGCTCTGACCTCTTCTCCCTTGTCGAATAAAAAAATGACTACAGCAAACACAATAGCTGTCCACTGTGAATGAATCAAAATCATATCTATTTTTTGTTAGATCAGCAAAAAATATATTTTCTGGTGTGCCGCAGAGTTTCAGTGATTCATTCACGTGCCACGGGGTGAAAAGGTCGGAAATTGCTGCTCTGACGGCGAGGAGAGGTCACACAGCCCTCAGCCCTTCCTGCCCTCAGTTCTGGGCCCACCAGCACTTTCTGCCTACTCAAGGTTGAAGCAGCACCACCTCGGGACCTCACTCCAGAATCACAGTCACTTCCAGAGGCAGGTGGAGTAAATGTCCTTGCCCTCAACTCAGTGATAAGGAACTAACTTGAGAGGTCGAAGGGCTTGGTCAGCATCACGCAAGCACTGAGCAATGGGGCCAGCTCTCCTCCCAGATCTTCCGATTCTGAGTTCTTCTTTGTCGCTCTGTTGGAGGAGGAGGCTGGTGGGTCATCCCCAGCCTGGTGGTCAAGTCCAGTGGGAGGGACTTTACTGCCAGGTGACCACACTCACTGGAATCCTGGAGAGGGTCTAGGAGCCCTGGAAGAACTGACCTTGGTCAAACCACGATTTGACCCCTGGTATTTAGATCTTCGGACTTGCTAGGTCAGTTTAATGTAGCAATATGTCCTCAGGCTCTCTGTGTCTGACATCTGAAGAATGTGTGGTGTAGAAGGAAACACTGGGCAATACACCAAGCCTTGCAAATAGCCTGTCAAATGTAAGTCTGTATGAATTTCCCTGAGTCCACCCAAGTACCAGGGAGGTCTCATGGTGAGACGTAATCACAACCCCCACTTTCCTCCTCTGAGGACCCAGCCTACATCCTCACATCATTGTCAGCTCGCTGACCTGCTCGCGAAGCATCCCCAAATAATGTATTTTCTCCCCTTCAGCCTGGAAGAACTCACCATGGATGCGTTTCACTTTTCAAATATTCATTTTAATTCTTTCACTATTTTTCCTGATGTTTTTGAGGGACGATCCTCTCCATGTGTTATGGAGCAAAACTGCAGAAATCCAGCTCTATTGTCTAAATTCGGAAAGTGAAATTCAGCTCCAGGGGTGTGGGTGGAGCGCAGCAACTGGGCTGCCGATCCCGTGCTCTGGAACCGCTGCCCTGCTCTGCTCTGTGACTTTCCCCGGGCGTTCCCTGGGTGAGGACCTGTCCTTTTGTCTCCTGTTTTAAGAAAATCCCCTTTAGGAGGACATGATATTTATTGATCGTCCTTTCCTCTTTCTGATTAGTTGTTTTAAGTTCTGCATTTATGACTTTGGGGACAGCCCCTTCCCCTACACACAACCCCTTTAAAGATGGCATAGTCAGATAGCAGGGCTGCCTCCTGAAACAGGTCCAAGACAAGCACGAGCTGGAACAAGGGCCGCCTTCACGCTGAAACAGCACACCGGCGAAACCCGGAGTCTCGGTTTCGCTGCTCTCGGTTACCCAGAGACATTCCTGCGAGGAAACAAAATAAAGGAACCCTGCGGGACCTCCCTTCCTTTTAAGCTGCTCCCGGGTCACGGTGCTAGGTGACCCCTTATTTTAAAAGTTTCTTGCTGACTTTATACTATTACTATTAGTTCAAAGATAAAATCCAATAGCAATGAAAATACTGAAATTTTAAAAAATCGGTTGTAGTGAATGTTCTCATTTCCTTGTACTTCATCCAAGATGCAGACGCCCGAGTGGGTGACCGGGCACCGCGGTCCAGCTTCATTGGCACTGCAAGGCGGAGGGAACGGAAGGAAGCCGTGCCCAGGCGGTGGTGCCCAGTCAAGGCTAAAGCTAGCACCTGGTTTAGTGAGGGGATCAGCTGAGTCCGGACGGGGGCAGCGCCTTCGGGCGGTGCAGGGGCTACGGGGCGCTGCTGTGCCCAGCGCGTGTGGTCAGTGGCTTTGGGGTCGGACCACTCCAAGTGTGACCATGTGTGTCCTGGTGAAAGCTTTGGAGACTCACTGTCTCCATCTATAATAATTACTTCATAAGAATGTTATAAGGATTAAAATTTTAAAAACACGTAGGTAAAATTCTCAGTAAGGAGCCGGCCCGCAGTATGTCTTCAGTTAACGGCACATTTCTCCCGGCGCTGCGACAATCGCCGTGCTTACCTGCCCCTGGCGCATCTCCTCGCGAGTCCCTGCGCGGCGCAGCGAGGTCCCTGCCAGGCCCGGAGCTGTCTGCTTGGAGCCCCCTCTGGTAACCAAGAACCAAGTTCTTTGAAAACAACATATAGTTGACACAATACAATATACAGATGATGAATTAAAGAACTGTACACTGCAAACATGTACTTTTATTAATCAATGTTACCCCAATAAATTTAGTAAAGTAAATAAATAAAAATCAGGCAAAACACATCTTGTCTTCCAAAAACAGTAGTAATGACACAAATGATCAATGTGGATCATCATCTAATTTTAGGTCACCCATTAAGGTTGTAGAAACAGATTTTCAAAATGACACCCTCTTGGACTATATTGATTTGTTGACTCTAAGGAAAATTCTTTCTTCGTAGATGGAGTTTCTGTTTCTCCTCGTTGGTTTTTTTTTTTCAAGTGAGAAAGAACTGTGTGGATTTGAGTCACTTACTAAATTCCCAATTCTTCTCAGGCAGCAGTGAGCTCCGTGGTTATGAACCAGACAAACCTGATTTCCAAGGTCTGCCTTGGTAGCAGGGTGACCTTGGGCTGTTACTTAAGCTCTTTAATCCTGCACTTTTCATTTGAGATGGGATGAGACTGCATTGTGCATGGAAAGCATTTTGAGTAATGCCTGGCACATAGGATGCGCTCTTTACACGTTGGCTGTCATCACTGTTCTCGGCAAGACCGATTTGCCAGAACACAGAGCACCAACCTTGACTTCAGGACCACCCAGTTGCTTGGGCTCTGCAGCCCTGTGCTGGATACAGAAGAGGGACTATCTTGGTTCCGTTTGCCACACAGCTCCAGTCACTTTGTTGAACAAACCCTAACTTGAAGAAGGCCAGGCAATGGAACGTTTTATTTCTAACCTTTCATACTCACTTGAGCACCCCTGGCTTGGGAGCTCATTACAGTCTCAGGAAGAAAAATACTTTATTAATCAAATATTGTGCACAGATGAAACAACATATCACCTGCTAATTAAAGGAGAGACCAGCACTGATGCAGGCATCTCTTTTATTCCCCTGGGCTTATGGCTCAATTAACAATGAACAGTGACGGATGTCCTCAAAGGGAGCTTTCTGTCTCCCTCCTGGGTTTTCTCAGGAGGAGTTAGAAATAAGATGCTTGACAGAGTTTAGTAAGGAAAAAATTAAAATCTACAATAAACCACCTGTCTTATTTGTGAATGAAATATACTTGCAAAAACCTTAGATGACACCAACACATATTTATTGACTTTACAGTTTTTTAAAATTTACTTATTCTAACTTTAACAAGTTATGAAATATAACTGAAAACCTTACAGAAGATATTGGGAGCTGAGAAACTGACCCGCACTACAATCTCTTCCATGAGAAGTGTGCCCTCTCTCCCCAGGCACATCACGATATGCAGAATAAAGAAGTGTGCCCTTGCTTCATAGGTACATCACGATATGCAGAATCAGGGCTTCTAAATGTATAGTCTCTTTGAAAATACAGTATGATCAGAATTGGACACCAGGGTAACTATCCCCAAAGTAAAAAATGCAATGATTTTGAGGTCATTACACAAAAATAAACAAGCTGTGATTGAAAACCATGAACCCATACTCAGACCTTACTCTGGTTGTGCTGTTGACTGATGGTGGCTGGAGAGAGACCTGTCTGGGGAGAGCTGTTTCTCAACGCTCTCTGTTTCTGTCACATCCTTTCCTCAGTGTCCCCAATATCCTCTATTATGACAATCAAATGACCTATCAGAAAAGTCTCAGATTTCTGCTCTACACCTCTTCATGTTATCCAGCCTATGTGCATCTTTTCTCACGAATACATATTTTTAGCTTAAATAATCACAGCTGTTAGTGATCCAGCTCTCAGCATAAAACAAGCACCAAGCTAAGGATTTTATGTATCATTATTTTATCCTTACTATCATTTTATGAATACCTTAGAATATTCATCGGTAAATTTCAGCTTAGGGAAGGTAATTAAGTTGTCCAAGATCCTACAGCTACAAGTGGTCTGACTTCAGAGGATGAGCTCTGAACTAATGATATTGATTTTACACCCGAAATGATCTGAGCGGCAGGTATCCAGACAGGTGAGGAGGCTTCTGGGGGCATCCCTGCAGGATGAAACCAACACTCTAACCTGAAGACCTAAGTTCTGCCACACACCTGCCATAGTTGTCACCTGTTATATAGTAATGGTAATTCTATCACTGAATTCAGGTAATTCTAACCCCACCTCCCGTGGCCTTTTACATTTTCGAGAAGAGAAACACAGAAGTGTATGGCCTTCATGAGCAAGAGAAGTGCATGAAGGAAGCTTAATAAAGTGTCCAGGGGACACTGTCATAGCGGATCCCCTCTGCAGCCAGTGGCCAGGGTTTCTCCTTTAGCAACTGATCAAAGATAAGAACGGTGCCCATGGCATCACATCTAGGCTGGGGAAGATGAGTAAGAACATTTACCGCATCCCAAACACCAGAAAACATGTGAAAAACCTTGAGGTGGAAAGCCTCTGTGTAGGATTAATACAAGGAAATGCTATTTTACTCAACTCCAGAATTCATGGCAACACAAAACCATTCAGCCTAGCAAGATAAATCGGGGGGGGGGGGGGGGGGGGGGGGACAAAACAAACAACAAACTTATGGAGAAAAATTAAAACATTGTGGGTCTGTGTCCGATATTTTTAGGTTGCAGATCTAAGTGGAAATTCTGCCAGGGGCAGAGCAGGCGGACTGCTGAGTGGACCAGCAGCCAGGCCTAGGAGAACACCCCTAGGAGTGCAGCCCTCCCTGAGCCAGCAGGGAGGAAGAACAGATCTTTCACACTCCAGAGGAAACGTTCTCTGCTGAACTGGGTGTTACCTGCTCGAAAACCTCATTGCGCGAAAGCAACACCCGCAAGCCTTCCTCGGCACCTGTTTTACCCTGACCGATCCGCGAGTCACGAGGAAGGAAGACAGAGCACACTGCATTCCGAAACAGTCGCAAATGCTCAACAGGCCCTTCCGCCGTGAGCTCTGCAGGTCCCGGAGCTGCCAGACCTCGGCCCTCAGCCTGCCTCACCTTTAGCAAGAGCTCCAGGGCTGCTTCGCAGACATGTCCAGGTGAACAAAGGCCTCAGGGAAAGCAACTCCATGAAGGCTCTACCAGTTAAAGGAGACGGTTCCAGTCTGCTCACTAAACCCCATCACCCGGCTCCCAGATGCAACCGGCCTCTCCGAGAAAATCAGTCAGTTTGAAGACTCCCACCGGTCCGTGGACCGTGATCCCTGCTCTGGGAAGGAGCCCTCACAATTTGGATTTCTGGTGTTAAGTGGAAAGTTCAGTAAGGGACATAGGCACGCTCTGCCTCTCAACAATCAGCTTTGCATAGGGATTTGAAAAGGTGCTTTCTGGTGACGCTCTGTCTCTGTATCTCCATCTGTAGTTTAAGGATGATGACTCACTGACGCCCTCTCCAGGGCCATAGTTTTTTTTCTGTGGCTTTGACTGCTGCTTTGTTCAAAAGAAAAGAAAAACTCAGAGATCCCTGGGTTTTATGTGTGCTTCTATCCCTCGGGGCCGATTGTGTTATGTGGTAGTATGAAATCTTATTAAAATCCAAATATTTAGACAACTTGGAAGCAGTCTTATATTTTAGGTTCAGAAGAAGAAAGACAGAGCGGCTCCTTTGTTGCCATTTCTACCACTGTTGCAGGAAGCTGAGTGAACGCCGTTCACAAACCACAAATCCTTAGGAAGTCACATAGTTTCCATCAGTCAACGCCACCCATCTACAGAACAAGCCCACATCTTTCAAGGCAGAGCAGACCCTAAATTGGCACCAGGATGTTTCTCAAGACTTCATTTTTGTCACCTAGAAAACAGGAATGCCTGACATCTTCTCTAATGTATTTTCTAGCTCCAAAATATCATCATCACTTCATTTATAGATAATCCACCATGTGTGAGGTACTATAATAATAACAACAACAAAAAAGCTAAAGCAAATAGAGAAGATGTAAAGCCAAGAGATAAAAGACACAATTGATAAATGGATGAAGTTAAAAATGAATAAACTGTCCTCTCCGACCTTTAGGCCATGGGCCATAGAAGTGGACACACAAACACATGTGTCATTCTCAGGCAATTTTCCTGACATAGCAGAGTGGGGTAGGGGCACCAAGGAGGAAGGGGATCACTTGATCACTTCTAATTAAGGGGTCCAAGGCAGGTCTAGGGAGCTGGGTGAATTGGATCATGACCTTTAAAGATGTATAGGAGTCAATCAGTTGGGGATGATTAGAGATGTCAAAAATAGCAACAATAAAGGGCATTATGGTTAATTGATTATTATAGATTAGCCATTTGGCACAATAAATAATACTTAATAAATGTTCAATCTATTGGTGGCCAGAAGAGAGAGAAGAGAAAGAGAATGGAAAGAGGGAGAAAACATAAAGTTACCTAGCAAAGTTAGTGAGCTAGAGTGTGAGGTTCAAGGTCAAGTTTGGGGACAATGAAGATGGAAAATTAAATTGGAAATAGTTTCAATGGTTAGGGCAAAATATCACATTCTACAAATACACATTTAATAAATACCTGTTGTACATGTCATTGCTTTTTAAAGCCTGATTATGGCTATTTTGTTTCTAATATTTGTTTTAAAAATAAGTATTCTAACTATAAAATAGACAAGCTCATTGTTTGCAGATTAGTTCTTTAGTTTGTATCACATCTGTCTATTGTTGCTGTTGATTAAATGTAGCCATGTTATGACAAATTTTACCTCTCCCCATAAGTATAATTATTGAATAGTGCATATCGAAATCAAATGCATTCCCTTGGGACAGAGGTCATTTAACTTGTGAAGACATGTGACCTTGGGCAAAATGTCCTCATTTGTAACCTCACGGGGTTGGGTCAGGATATTTCTGGGGCTCTTCTTAGGTCTACCTTGATTATAAGTTGCACATGCATATTGTGAAGGTGAATTACCAATCACATTGTATCTCAATAAATTAAATGGATTACGCGCTCTTAGAAATTCTTAGTGAATCATTTCTGGGGTGATAAATGACTGTCACTCACAGGGAATTGCCTACAAAGCACACCAGCTAACTATACGGCACAGCCTGCAACTCAGTGGTCCCAGTCCTTCAAAACAGTCCCTGCTTCTTACAGATGCATGTCCAACAGCTTCAAAAAAAGTAGACGCAATAGTTTTCTTCGGAACCCTAAACATGCTTCTTCCACCGCAACAGGGCTCCCCGGAAGCACAGAAACGAGCAGGGAACTATTTCCTCTGGAGCAGAGGGCTGTGGCACCTGTGATGGTCCCGTGCGCGCCTGTGCTCAGCGGGCTGCCCGGACCCCTCTCCGGGCCCGCACTCCTCGTCCACGGGGTGAAACCGCCCTTTGGGCCCTGAGGCCGCCCTGCCGCCTCCGCCCACGTGCTCCTCTTGGCTCGCACTTCTTTGGTAGCCAGAGTTGGGTGGCTTCCCTCCTCTGTTCACACTCTTCATGCTGATTATCTGCGGAGCCAGCTGCCTCTCTCGAAGCGATCTTGCTCGAGGGTGTGCGCGGGACATGATGGACGAGAGCTCCGAGTCACTGCTGTCCGCATCTGGGGGAGCAGGACAAGGAGGTGAGAGCCAGGCCGGCGACCCAGAGACGACGTCGGAGGGCAGGGGCGGGGAGAGCGCCGTCCTCCGGCTCTAACACCTCGTTCCTGGTGGCAGGACTTTCACTTTGTGCGTTTGCTACCCCAGTGGGAGAGGGAATGCGGGTGACCCTTGGACAACATGGGAATTAGGGGCTCCACCTCCCTGCACCGTCAGAATCCATGTACAACGTTTGACTCCCCCCAAACTTGACTCAGAGCCTTACAGATAATATGAGCAGTTGATTAACATGTATTTTGAGTGTTACATGTATTTTCAAAACTGTAGTCTTATAATAAGTGAGCTAGAGAAAATAAAATGTCATTAAGAAAGTCATAAGGAAGAGAAAATACACTCACAGCCCTGCACATAGTTATTTTAAAAGCCCACATATAACTGGACCCATGCAGTTCAAACCTTTGTCGTTCAAGGATCAACTGAGAAGCTATATGTGCAGTGTTACCAATAAATGGAAATGTACAAAAAGCATGTATCCTCCAGGTAGGGTGGGAGTGTTTTTCTTTCTTTCTTTTTTTAAATTAAAATTGTTTTTTTCTTTATTGAGAGTAGTTTAGAGAGAGAGGTAGGGGGAGGGAGAGAGAGAAAAATCAATGAGAGAGAACATCGATTGGCCGCCTCCTGCATGCCCCCCACTGGGGATCAGGCCCACAACCTGGGCATGTGCCCTGACCCGGGATTGAACAGGTGACCTCTTGGTGCATGGGTTGACACTCAACCACTGAGCCACACGGGCCAGGCAGGGAGGGTTTTTTACAAAATCAGAACAGTTGTCCCTACAGCACAAAGATGCTTTGTGTTGTCAAAGACCAATGCTAAACTGAAGGCTTGGCACTGTGATACGAAAATGCTATTTTTATCTAGGTTTGTTTTTTAATCAGTGGCTACCAGAAGTCATTAAATCGGAGTTTCTTCCCTTTCAACCTTGCACTAGCTAACTTTGCAGAAACAGGGATAGGGTGTGGGCACAGTGGAGGGCCGTGTGTGGCAACACAGCTACAACTATATGCTCTTATTTCAAAGAGGCAAGAAGATGAACAGATAGTGGCTGGCACACAGTGGCAATGATAATGAGGATAAAGTCCATTTATTGGAAACTTAGTATGTGTCTGTCACTATGCTAATCATTCCACATCTATTCCATCATTTACTGCTCATCATAACGTTTTGTGATGAGAAAAATTATGATGCTCATTTCATAGGTGAAGTTTTCCAGAGGTTAAATGACTTTCAGCATCATACAAGGAAGACAGAATTGGAGTCTGAGCAGAGCCTGCCCAGCTGCACCGCTGTCTCCTGCTTACATGTCATGGGTGGGTCAGGAGAGCCGCATCATGAAAGGAGGGACACCCCTGGGAATCTATGTGATGTCCCCTCTTGGGTGACTTCCAAATAGCTCCACCATACTCAGGACATCCAGTGTGCAACATCCTTGAAGGAATATTTTTCACAATCTCTCATTCTCATTTCCTCAAAATTTTAACCTCACACAATTATTTTCTCTTTACATATTCTCCTGAGAATTTAGATATTTTAAGACCTTTTATTTAAATCTGAGAGTAGGTCCTTTCTCCCATTTTCTTCTTCCTCCTTTGAAGCAAAACAAAAAACAAAATCCCTGTAGGTTAAATGTGCTTAGGATACGGGACATCACAAAATCCTAAAAGACCCTGTTCCGTAATGTTTGTTCCACTTCTGAGCATACATTATTCTATTTCCTGACCACTTTCTGTTATTAAAAAGTACCCTTGCGACCCATATAATCTCATTAACCAATGTCACCTGAATAAATTTAATTAAAATTTTTAAATGGCTAAGATGGTAAATTTTATGTGATATGTATTTTACCACAATTAAAGTAAATTTTTTAAAATAAAAAAAATTGAAAAGTGGGTTCTATGCACTAGGAAGAGGCTTGGGCAAGTGACTAGCAGGTAAGTCATTAGATCCGCCCAGGGCGGAAGAAGGCCGCGCGCTGGAGGCGGACGAAGGGGGCGGAGGCGCGGCCTGTGCTCTGTCCACGGCGCAGTCTCTTCCAGGCCGGCGCCCAGGCCGCACAGTCCAGGGAGAGGTCAGCGGACACCTCAGCAGTAAATTTGAACATCTGTTCTTTTATCTGCCCCCTGCCCCCGAGCCGCGTCTTCTGGACATGCCCCCGGGGGGCAGAGAGAAGGAGAAACGGGAAGTGCTTCTGCGCAGGGCAGGGCGGAGCGGAACAAGCAGGGCCGCCCAGACCCGAGGCGCACCGCTTCCCCCACACCCTTCTCCTGCCTTAGTTTTGTTTCAGTAAAGTACACATAGCGGAAAACTTAGCATTTTAGCCACGTTTTTCATTGTAATCATTTTAAGTGTACAGTGCTGTGGGCCTAGTACGTTCACACTGTTGCACGAACATCCCCCCCTCCAGATACAGGACGTTTTCATCTCCCCAACCCACGGGGTTTCAGCAGTCTCAGGCTAGGAGGGTGTCCAGGGGGACCTCTGTACTTGCAACATCGAGTGAACCCAAGGGCACAGGAGCCTGGGAGCGAGTGTGGAGACTCCTCAAGCTGCGGCAAGCTCCAGACATCTAGAGTAAGTGGTGTTCTGCCTCTCGAGGGCAAAGGGACAGCCAGGGAGGAAGGGGCTTCCCAGGCACAGCCGCCGGTCAGGGCTCCTGCTGGGTGGACAGCCCCTCTGCTCTGCCCTCCAGCCCCTCTGGCCGGTTCCTGACTACGTCTGGCGCAGAAAGACTTCACGGGTTGAAGCAGTTATGCCCAGATACACATTGAGGACTATCTCAGTCTCTCCATGATTATTATTATAATTCTTTAAAACATATTAAAGATAAGTCCCACTTCATTACTTTTCCTCGTCAGATTTCTAGGTTTACCACTCTTTTCACTCAGTTGATGAAATTAGAACTAGTTGAGCACATTTGAAAGAAAAAAGATCATTGGGAGAAAGACTTCATTTCATTTCTAGGTCAATTCATGGAGAACTGACATTTCTGACGGGCCGTGTTCCTTCCAAAACACCTCTGTCTGCCCAGGTCAAGTCTTCTTTGCTATCTCTCGACAGTAAAATAATAATAGCAAATACTATTGCACGCTCAGCTGGTTCCAGGCGCCGTGCTGAGAGCTTTTTGTGTACTGATGGGCTTCGTGTCAGGACAACGCTTTTGTCCGTGGGAAGTGCCGACGCTCTCCCTTCACGGAGAGGAAATGACAGCACAGAGAAGTGCAGTTTTGTTTTCCTCGTGTAAGTCCTATAAATATTTTCCTGGGACTCTATGATTTTTACTGAAACTATGAGTGAGATGCCTTTTAGGGCATCTATCAAAGGATAAGATCTGCCTTGGCCAGTTGCTCAGTGGTTAGAGCGTTGGCCTGTGGTCCAGAGAGACCCGGGTTCGGTTCCCGCTAAGGGCATGTACCTCGGTTGCAGTCTGTCCCCGGCCCTGGTTGGGGTCGTGTGGGTGGCAGCCACTCGATGTGTCCCTTTCACATCAATGTTTCTCTCTCTCTCTCTCCTCCTCCTCTCTCCCTCCCACTCTATCTGAACAAAAAATGGAAAAATGTCCTCCCTTGAGGATAAAAAAAAAAAGTGTAAGATCTTTTGCCTGATAATCTGGTGAATAATGGAAACAGTTCCTGCTGTTCACAACCCCACGTCTGGAAGAAGTGCTCTGTGAGGTGCAGTATGCCTCGAACACGCTGCTGTGGTGGTGTAAATGCTTAGCACTGTGCGTACATTCATTCTCGGGAGCTATTTTCTGCTACCATAGCTCGTGATACTGATGCTCGTCCCACACGGAGACGGTGAGACGTGCACGTCTTCTGTTCACTCTGACAGCGCAGGCAGGCCGGTGGGTCACAGTGGGAGGTTTAAAAGCAATCCACTGTGCACCCTCTTGTTCGCTTTTGTAGTGGAGTGGAGGACACTGTCACACACTGATCTGAGGAGAGAGGACTAGACCAATGACACAGAAGTCAGAGTCCCAAACTCTCTCGGGACGAATGCCTGGAGCAGAGCAAAGGTGGGCTTCACCCTAAAGGACACGCGGAGGGCAGGACATGGCCATTGAGAAACAGTAGCTTAATCTGCACAAAGGTAAATCCCAGGTGATTTGACATTTTTGTGAGAAAGTCAAACTATTAAAGTTCTAGATGAAAAATATTGGGTAAATCGTTTTCTAATTTTCCTGTAGAAGATCAAGCAGATTTGATTCATCAGAATCTGAATGGCAAGCATGTCTAAAAACTAAAAGATAAATATGAAATGAGGAAAAATCATTAACAACAAATTTTAGACAAAAGAAGAAACAGAAAATTCCTCAAAAGAAGACAGTTGGCTCTAAAATTATGAGATGTTCAACTGCACTAATAATAAAATGATACACATGAAAATTAAATTTATCCTGTCATATCATAGATCACTCAAGGGTTTGACAATAGCCCAGTGACTGAAAAGTGTTCAGAAATTACCTTTCTCACAGACCTGTTGGTGTACATAAATTTAAATATATATAATTTTTGACTTAAATATTTCACTTCCAGGAAAAAGTACTAAGGAAATAATTGCTTATTTGTGCAAAAATCAATCTCAAATGATCCAAACCACTTATTTATTTTTTTAAAACTTGATGTAGCTCAATATTTATTTATTTTCCATTTGTCCTTTATTAATTAATTTATTTTTGTTACAGATGTTTCTCCTTTTTCCCCCCAGACACCCTGCAAGGCACTTATTATAAATCATTGCTTATATTCATTAAAAATTGGAAATATTTAAAATATTTGTCAATAAGAATTTAGCTAAATAAGCCATGTTGCTTTTATATAATTGATTCTTAATTCATTAAAAATGATCAAAAAGTTCATATTTATTGACATGGACATATGTTCACAACATATGGTTGAGTAAACTAGACAAATTATAAAAGTTATAAAACAAGATTTTTAGGTAGACTATGACGCTAGTGTGTTTGTGATTTTGGTTTTGGTTTTGTATCAGGTATGGGTAGGGTAGAGATCAGGCTACTGTAGAGAGAATTATAGAAAGATTCCTACCAAAACATTCTATAGTGATTATATCTGGGCTTTGGATTTTTATGTACTTTTAACTTTCTTTTTTTGCTTTTCTATACTATTTGATTTTGCTTTTATACCAAGCAAGTTTTTAAATCAGAAAAAAATGCTTAAATTTAAAGAATAATATACTTACTCATTAAATATTTAATTCTAGCCCTGGCTGGTTTGGCTCAGCAGTAGAGCGTTGGCTGGTGGACTAATGAGTCTTGGGTTCGATTTCAGTCAAGGGCATGTACTTCGTTTATGGTTCATCCCCAGCCCTGGTTGGGGTGATGCTGGTGGCAACCAGCCGATGTGTCCCTCTCACATCGATGTTTTTCTCTCTCTCCCTTTCTCTCTCCTCTTTCTTTCTCTCTCTCCCTTCCTCCCTCCCACTCTGTCTGAAGATACAGTGATACCTCGGTTCTCGAACATAATTCGTTCCAGGAGGACGGTCGAGAACCGAATTGTTCGAGAACCGAAGCAATGAAACCAATAGGAAAGCGTGACTCCACAAAGCGTGACTCTCTCTCTGCACTCACACTGATGACGCGAGCAAGGCGCGCTGGGCCGAATGAACGCCATTCGGCTCAACTCGGCTCATCTCGGAAGTTCGAGTTCCAAATATTTGTTCGGATTCCGAGACAAAAGTTTCTCGAATCCCGATTTGGTCAAAAACCGAGGCGTTCGAGAACCGAGGTATCACTGTAAATAGAAAAATATCCTCGGGTGAGGATTTAAAGAAAATAAATAAAATTTTAATTCTAAAATTTTATGTATTTAGTTTTTTTGAATTTCTAATGTGATTTAAAGTCTTGAAAATTTAGGAAAATTTAAATTGATAACATGCATGCATATACATATGTGTGTGTGCATATATGTATGTATGTGTATGTGTGTATACAAATATTAAATCAATAAATTTAATCAGTAAATTTGATTAAATTATTTTAGCAAAATTTAACCAATTTGGGAGAATTCCAGAAATTTTTAAACCATGGGTGAATTCTGTGACTTCAAAAATGTGCCCATTTTTTGTTTCTCTAAGACAAGTCTCACCAAATTATGACCCTTGGCCTTTATTTGGTATACTACTTCTTTTTGTATATGGCTTATGAACTAAGGATGGTTGTTGCATTTTAAATGGCTGAAAAAAAATTAAAAGAAGAATATTTCATGACAAGTAAAATGATATGAAATTCAAATTTCAGTGACCACCAATAAATTTCTGAATTAAGTTAATAAAATGGTTTGTTTTCTCTCTCTTTCTTCGGTCACAGAAGTACCTATATAATATTCTTGGTTTGGGCCCGGCTGCTGTGGCTCAGTGGTTGGGCGTTGACCCTGCACCAAGCGGTCACCAGCTCAATTCCCGGTCAGGGCACGTGCCCAGGTTGTGGCCTGATCCCCAGGGAGGGGCATGCAGGAGGCGGCCAATCTGTGTTCTCTCTCATCAATGTTTCTCTCTCTCCCTCTCCTTTCTTCTCTCTCTTAAGTCAATAAAGAAAAGAAAAGTTTAATATTCTTGGTTTTGCATTGTGGCCCCAGCCCACAGTCTACCCTCAGAGAAGAGGAGGAGCCGGCGCGCAGTCACCTGTGAGCTCCGCGGGCCCCTGCGCTCCCCAGGCTGGCTGCGGGCCGCTGCAAGGGAAGGAGAGGTAGCGGATGTTCTTGGTGCCAGGCTGCGGGGACAAGCAGAAATAAAGCGGAGTTAGCCACCGCGATCCCACGTCTCCCGTGCAGACCCAGGGGGGGCACAGGCTCACCTGCGGCATCTTGCTTGCATCACTGGCTTTGTTATTTTTGTTTAAAAAGACAGAATGCTCAGCCTTCAATCTGCATTTGCCATTCTTCTCATGATAGACTAGACCACTATGAACCCGCAGAGTTACTCCACAGTCTCACTGAGAGTGGGGTAGAGAGGACGACCCCCCAGACCCGGCCTCATCCCTAGCGCAGCGACTGGCTGCCGGCCCCGTGCGCGGCGCACAGCACATAGGGAAACAAGGCCAGCACCTTGGCCCCAACAACTTCTCCCAGGGCAAGATGCAGCGCCCTAGAGCTTGGGCCCCGGTCCACGAGGTCCCCAGGCACCTGGCCCCTCGGCATCCAGTCCAGACTCACAGCAGAGATCCCTTGGGTTCCTAAGGCCTTGGCCTCCAAAAAGCATCCCTAAGTAGGTGCCCATTACTTTTGTATTTCTCCGTCAACAAGGCAGTGGTTTTGTTTGTTTGTTTGTTTGTTTGTTTGTTTGTTTGTTTGTTTGTTTAAACATCAGTGGGAGTCGCCTGAGGAGGCCCTGTGCAGGGACGCCCAGCGCTCGGGCGCCCACGGCCCCACCTTACCGGCTGTGCCCGCGGCAGGCTGTGGCCTCTGCCCACGCTCTCCCGGAAGGTGTTCCGGCGGCGGATCAGTATCTCTTTAGCTTGCTCCTCAACTGCTTGGGGTTTGAGGCTGTACTTGTTGTAGGACAGTGTCTGCAGAGAGAGGAAACGTCAAACACCGCAGGAATCTCCAGTGCGACTGCCACCTCAGGAGGCCACACGGTTGTCACACTGGGCTCCTGGAACAGAGAGACACCCTGCACTCATCCAGCCCTGCCCTGACGTGACTCCTGACCCCCAAGACGACCTCTTCCGAGAGGAGGCCTGTGAGAAACACCCAGATGCTGTGTGGGGCCCGGTGACCCACCACCAGGTGGAGGCGTGGATGTCACCTTCTGAGATCATCCTCAACACTGTGGATCGCCCACTGGAAACACAGCAGTCCAACACGGCCCTGGGTGGCATCTGCAGAGAGCGAGAGGATGGGGGAGGAGAGGAGTCCCAGGGCCATGTAGGCCCCGGAGTGAGGAAGGAGCGACGGAAGGGGAAGAACTAGTGAGTTCCACACTCTCAAAGTAACAGAAGTGGAGGCAGAAGCCACCTCGGAGGCCGGAACTCCCCTGTTTATTGTTTGTGTTCTCCCCGTGCGACCTCCCGTAACCTGTCTGCCGATGGGGGGAGGAGGACAGGGGCTGGCGCATAGCTTAGAAGGTAGAAACCCAGAGGACAGGCTGAAGAGGCACACCAATCAAAGGAGAAACGTGGCGATCTGGGTCGATGGATAAAGGGACACAAAGATATAATGGGCAGCTAACCTCGTTTTAGACCCAGAATCTGTATCTCCATGCCTGGACCTTTCCCTAAATTCAACCTTTATCAGCATGGGGGAAGCCTGAGGCCCAGGAACCCTTTGGGCTCTGGCCCCACTGAGCTAGCCCACATTCTTTAAACCAGGAAGTTCTTAACTATTTAGCTAAGGCAGAGTGTGATCATCTTACTGAAACAGTTTCACTTGGAATGATTTGAAAGCTGTTGTGTTTACTCTAAGTATGCTAGAGTTGCTGCTGACCTATATTCCTCAGCAGGTGCACAGACTACCCATGACATATTCCCCTTAATCACTGAACTTTCCAAACAGGAAGCTAGATGTGTTCACTCTCGCTGTGTCATCTGGCAAATGCAGAGCCACAGAGAGAGCCCTGGACAGGCAGTTGGAAGACCTGGGTTTATGTATTTGTTTTGTGACCCTAAACAGGTCAGATAAACACCTCCTCTGGCTTGAAAAAACGAGGAGCTTTGGTCCCCTCGAGACTATGATTTATGACATAGTCACAAAAACCAAGGCCCTCATAAAGAATTCACTTATAATCACACTCAAGAATTAGGAAGTTCAATCAAATCCTCAGACTTAAAATAACTCCTAATAGAGGACACAAGTTTACATAGCATTGGACTAAGTCAAAGTTTCAGAAGGACTCAACCACTGAGTCAAGAAATGTCCTTCTTGTGCATTTTGGACCAGTTCCCAAGTGCATACCGTTTTCCAAAACTGAGAAATAATGTGTCTAATATAGCTCCTTTTTTTCTTAAGGCTTTCAGTATTGTAGTTTCACTATTCTAATGGAAACATCTCAATTTCCTGAGCTCTATTATGGTCAATCAGATTGAGACAGGTCACTGGGGACCCTCTGTTTCTGTGGCACATTTGTCTGCTGGAGGGCAGGGAGGCTGTCCTGGGAAGGCCAGGCTGCAGGGCTGGGGCAGCCTGACCCCGAGGGCCAGCAACCAGATCTGCATTTCTTTTTATACCACCAGCGCCAATTTTGCAGCAGAAACATAACAGTGCACTTTCTGTTCTCCCAAATAAGCAGGGAGAAATTATCCGACAGAAAAGCTGCATTGGAGACAATGGTGTGATCAGGAACTGGTCCCCGAAGGACTGGTCCCAGGATAGGCACCAGGGACAGGTTGGACGGCTTGTACACACCCGCTGTCGAACTTGGTACATGTTGCGTGTCAGAATGTCCCTCATGGACTCCACATCTTCAGGGGAAAGCCTTTTGATTCCTTCTGTCCTCTGGGCCCTGCAAACATCATTGGAGAAAGGCAAACATCATTTTTCCGTCGTGGCAAGAGCTCCATGGAGCTATTGGTGTACCCGTGGGAGCTCCAAGGTCCAGGCCCTGTTTGCACAGTCTTTCCTGTTGTGTACGAAGCCCCTGTGAAATGTCAGTGTGTGTGTCCAGGCTTAAATTTTAAAAATATAGTTTTACCCTGGCCGGTTTGGCTCAGTAGTTAGAGTGTTGGCCTGTGGTCCAGAGAAATCTGGGTTCGGTTCCGGCTAAGGGCATGTACCTCGCTTGCGCTTTGTCCCCGGCCCTGGTTGGATTGTGCAGGAGGCAGCCACTTGGTGTGTCCCTTTCACGCCGATGTCTCTCTCTCTCTCTCTCTCTCTCTCTCCCCCCCCCCACTCTATCTGAATAAAAAATGGAAAAATGTCCTTGGGTGAGGATTAAAAAAAAACTATATATATATATATTTCTTTGCTTTTACCTTTTATGTGGAAAACATTACTCATTTTAAAAAAGAGGGTTCAGCCCTGGCCAGTTTGGTTCAGTGGTTGAGCGTTGGCCTGCGGACCGGAGAGTCCCGGGTTCAGTTCCTGCTAGGGGCACGTACCACACACACACACACACACACACACACAAATAAAAATAAAAAAGAGGGTTCAAGTTGGTAACAAACCAGTTTATTCCCTTCATATCTGCTATGATCAAACATGTTTGTAAAATACAATAAAAGTCAATTATTAGAAAATAATTGTTTTAAATACCATAAAGTGCAAAACAAACTTTTTTTTTTTCCACTGGATTCAACAGAAATAAGGCTAGGCTGACTCGATCAGGTCTGTACCTACCGTAGACCACCAGCTCATGGACGGCAGTCTCCGCAGGGCACACTTTGAGTAGCATCAAGCTAACGGTACTAAAATTTGATGAGCACCTTTATGAATACATCTGCCTTGGGATTGTTCCTTTAGAGACTTTGTCTTCAGTTAAAGAATATTGTAAGAAACTCGTATCATATTTTATAAGGACAATAAGAGCATTTTCACCATGACCAAGCCAGCCCCTTTCGGAGACACAAAACTGTGAGATTCTGGAAACAATTCACAGCTCACTGCCTCCACACTGACCACTCCCCACATTTTCCTTCATCATGAGTTCCCTCAACACCCCCTCCCCTGAAAGGGTTCAAAAACCAAGTCATGCCCAGGTTAGCAGTCAATGCACAACTGTCCTCAGGATTTCAAAGTCATGCCACTGTTATGTGCAGAATTTGCATTGACAGATGTATTTTATTTCAGTCCTTTGAATTTAGTGGAGGTAATTTCTATTACCATTGCATCAGTAATGTATGTTCACTGTAGACATAAGAACAAACAAGAGAGAACTAAATAAATTAAACCCATCTTCTAATACTATTACCTAACTTAACATCTTGGGCCCTTACAGAGCTTTGACTTTATTTTTTTTCTCTAACCGCAGCTCTTCTGAATACATAGGGTACTGTTGTGCTAATACCTGCTTGATAATTGATCACAGAGATGAGCAGTTACCAGTATTCACACAGGCCACTTTTAAAGTACTTTTCCCAAGCATTGGTAGTAATATAGCCCTAAATAGCAAGGACATTCTGTAAGTACTGTATACTTGGTGAAAGATTTTTAAGCACTTGAATACTGGATATCACAGTATGTCAGGGTTTACTTAGCAATATCTGTACACTGACTAATACTCTTTCAACATAGCATTGAAATCAGAGTTTCCGTATCTTAGTGATACAAATGCCAACACTATTGATATTCAGTTACCACTCTTGTTGAACTGAACATTATTATAAGGGCATTTCAACTTAACTATTTAAATGACCTTCAAATAAAATGTATTCTGATTTAGACATACCCACACATTCCCACAATCTGAACACATTCTTTCATTATCATGGAAGTAATCCATTGCTAAGCAGAAAAAACAGCAAATCACAGTCTCACTGTCTGCATGTGCAATAAAACAGCCACCAGGAGAAACCACTGGTAAAGGAAATGTGAACCTCAGGCAGCAGTAGCTCTGACCTGGCCCCTGTAGGAAGGGCAAACTGAGTCACACGTCAGCTCTGGCGGGCTGTGCAGCAGGCCTCCCAAAGGCATCAGCCCTCACGGCCGCACGAGGAGCTGCAGCTGTGAAGTCATTCAGATGAGCTCTTACCCGGGCGGGGTCACATCTGGAGTTTTCTACATGCCACTCAATTAGCAGAACCACCTCTGAAGTAATCATGTCATCAGCACAGGGAAGATACAATTCTTAGAAAAGTGAAATGTCAACAATTTCTTGGTCAAAAAAGGAAAATTATACACTGAAAGACCTGTGTCACTTGAATCTTCACTCATTGTCCCTAAAAGAAATCTCTGTCCCCTTAAATACAAGCCCTGTGGAAAGGTCATGGCTATCAAAATCAAACGGGAAGGTGACTCTAGATATGTCAGGATAAAAGGTTCATGTCTCGTAACCTTTTTAAAAAATGAGATGCTATAATACTATAAAGGAAGCTTCAATGCCAAACAGTATAAATATAAAGTATGATGGATGCTATATTCATGCCATAATATTAATTCCCCCAAATCAAATATTATGTCCTGATTCATTTAGAAGAATCCATGCTGTTTCAATAGCTTCACACATGAGATCCATGGGAAACACATGCTAAGACACGGAGGCCACGCTCGCTGAGTGAACAGTGCCCACAACTCTTCCACAGTGTCATTGCTGAATGTCTAGATTTTCCATCACATTTATTGGGGTGACTCTTGAGAAGGTCACCGAGATAACCACCACTGAGGATGAGTGCGGGTGGCGGAGGGAGGCCAGTCCCGCAGCACCGTGTTCCGTTGGAACGATCGGCATCGGACCTTCACTCCAGAGACTGTGTGTAAGAATACATACAGGTAAATGTATACCTGTCAGTAGGTGATCAAACATTTTTAAACTATAATAAATGTGTACTTTCTATAAATGACATGTTACAATTTTTTGGGAGTTTTTACATGTAATATTTTGAAGTTGTATAGTTGTAGTTTTCCGTGCCTATACATTTATAAATATTTCAGTATCTCTAAAATATTAACCAAATATTTTTTAAAGCTTCCACAGTTTTAATCAACCTCTGTCCTCTAATATTTCTAAGAGCTCACTAGTCACTGATAAATGAGATGCTTCATACTTAAAATAACAATTCAAGTACATACCCTACCCATTCCATAGGGTTGTTTTGAGGTTTAAATAAAACAATGCCTGTCACCCTAACAAAATTTTATGGAGTCAACATCATTGACCCTGGGCCATGGACAAGTTTTGGTGGAGGTGCCCCTGAAGGTCACAGACTTTGCAAATCTAAGCCTCTTGTAGAACAATTGCTTAAACTTCTAAAGAAAAAATATATGTGCATTTTGTTGTTTTCATTTTATACAGAATAACAAAAAGTGAGTTGAATACACACTTCTTTTTCCTATTATTGTATGAAGGTTTGTTTATTAAGAAATTGGCTGCTTTGATCTTAGGAGAGGAATTCCTTTTTGCTTGGCGTCCTACATATTTCTGATGAGATCAAATAAATGCAGTTCAACTACTAAACTTGAATTACATATAAGTTTAAAAGTTCTGCTCTCCACCCCAGTTTAGGCAATAGATGGAAAAACACTTCTCTTTCACCTATAAGGCTCTCTTGCTAATCTTGAGTCCGTCTTAAAACTCTCTGAAAAAAATAGTTGACTCAACAGAAGCCTCCCACCCCCAACCTCAATAAAGCTGGCTTAAAAATTGGGGCAACTCTTCATGACCAGTGCAGTGTAATGCAGAGATTCAAATTACGATTTAGCACAGGGTAGACTGATTCTCAGTAAAGATAAGTGCTCCCACATTCCTAGACCAAGTGCTCACATAACTAGTAAGCAAACCGGTGAGGAACCTGCCCAGCCTCCTGCCCTGCATTGGGCTGGCTCCCTTTCATTCCCTCAGTGAGCAAGTCAGGCACCTGGAACCAAGTGGGTTTCACCTCTTATACCCTCACAGCTCCCTGGACTGTGGAATGATATGTTCTTTCCTTTGCTTCATTAATATAATCGTTTGTATTAATGTCATAACCCAGAGCCATGAGGACAGGACTGTGCTTGCTTTCACACGACAGGACCCTAAGGAACAGGGTTGAGCCTACAGTGAGGTGAGTGAGGCTCTTGTAAGAGGAGAGGCCACCCTCTCTACACCGTGCCTCTACCCCACAGTTCAGTAGTCAAGGTAAGGAGGATTTGAATGCGATACTTTAGAAAATAAAGGTCAATGCGAAACATCCATGATGAATAAAATATCAACATTTTAGAAAAGGACAGGATCGATATTGCTGATTTCCCCCTCTGCTTCAGGCTTTACCATGGCTCAGCACGGCACAGACAATGCACATGTGCTCACACATTCCCAACTCTGTTTCCAAAGCTCTCTTAAAGTCGCGTCATGGCAGCACCAAGACAAACCATCAACCACAACAACAGTGTCGCTGGAAAACGAGGCATTTCCTGCTTGCACTGAGACACACTCAGACGCCACTACTTTAGTTTCTTCCCGGTTTGGAGGACAGGCACTGGTGTTCCTGATTCATTAGCAAGTAGCTTACTTGATTCAAGTAGCAAGTAAGGGGTGACAACTAACACTCAGACATCACCCACAATTTTATTGCCATCTATTCTTAGTTCTTCTCTCAACTTGGATTTAAAACATGAGGACACCGTTAAAGCTCATGACCAAGTGTCTTGACCCGCTGAACAGAACACGATGTATCAATTTTCTCAATTCATACATTGTTTCTTGGAAGAAAGCTGGGCACCTTGGGAGAGGTGTTAATTAATTCTTATGATAGTGAAGGGATTCTTGAGAAACACTAGAGTTAAAGCAGCTTTAACAAATAGTTCACCAGCTCTTAGGCTAGGTTGCCCAGTGCTCTGATAGAAGTGCCATGCTTCAAGGACCATCTTACAATGATGGCCTTGCATATGTCTTACCCCTCCCTACCCTGCCTCTGCACCAACTCCCCAAGGCCCTCTGTTCTACAGGGAGCCAGTCCCCTCCCTCATCTATTCCAAGCTAGTCTCACACAGACTCAGGGCAAGTCCCACAATCTCACACATTTTTTGCCTTAGACACAATGACAAACACAGCTTTCTTTTTAAAATAGCCCACGAGCCACCTCACTTCCTGCTCCCACCACTCATCCCCAAGCCCAAGTGAACGTCTCCCAATCATCTCAGAATGCTGACTCAGTCTCTCCTCATACAACAGGGGAAGAGCAATGACTCATGGGATGACTGCGATGGTAGGATTAGCAGAATGAAATGAACAGGGGTTAAAGGGCAGAGATTTTGGATTAGAAAGAGAAAGTCTTGTAAAATATGCTGTAATTCTATAAAGTTACCTGCCCCCCTTTCCAATGAAGGCGACTTTTTCTGGAAAGTAATTTTCAGAAATTGGGTGAAACAGGTTGATCATGGTCAAGCTGCAAAATGCCAAGACTTAGATCATCTTTTTTTAACGATCCCTACCTCATATGTGTGCCTCTTCCACTCCCCATATTACCCTACATACAACCAGGAGTCAGTGCCCCTGGGAACCCTGACACTGGATGTCCGCATCCATGGTGGCCAAGGGGAGGGGTTGGGGGGTGGTGAAAAAGGTGAGGGATTCAAAAGTGCAGGTTGGTACTTGCAGTGGTCACAGAGGTGTGGAGCTCAGCATAGGAATATAGTCAGTAATATTACACTATGCAGGGTGTCAGGGGGTTACTTGAAATATTGAGGGGACCACTTTGTAAAGTGTATGACAGTCTAACCACCATGCTCTACACCTGATACAGAGTAACACTGAAAGCAAACTGCAATTGAAAACAAATTTGAACAGGGGACGGAAAGCTAGAGGAGAGGCAGAGAGGACTTACTGGTGGGGCGCAGAAAAGGTCAGGGGACTTAGCATCCCCGTCTCCACCATCTCGAGAGTTTGTTTCATTTCCAGCTTCTTGTACAAAGAAACAATGCTTGATTTTGGCAGGTTCTTTCGAATTAGGATTTTCCGTAAATATCTATGATCAAACTTCTTGAACCTAAAATGAAACCCAACATTTTGGGAATGTTTAATCTCTGTACATGTCCCAAACTACATCTTTTTCTTAAAACCAATGACTACTTAACTGTAGTCTGAGAAATGCCAGGAGAGTCCCGGGAATTCAGAGCCTTCGAACACGTTTTTTATAATCATAGAATTAATACATTTTTTAAAATAAAGGGGAATGGCTCGCTGGTCTGAATACACTGACAGTTAACTAAAGGAAGGGACAAGCAATCGCGACAAAAGCACGGAGGCCGGCCTAGCTCAACGCCAGGGGGGAGGGGCTGAGGCTGCTGAACCCTGTCTCCGTCTAGGAGCCAGAGAGGTGGCAGCCGCACTGGCAGTGATACTGGCCTGTCCGGCCAAAGCCCAGTAGGTGTGCGTGGCCCTGGGGTTTTAGCAGTGTTGCCCATTATGCTGCAGATCATTTTCAATCCTGCCAACGAAGGGGGAGGGGCGACGAGAGCCCGCGTGCACCCTGAGGTCTGGTGACGGAGAGTCTGAGCGGGATGCTGGTGGCAGCTGACTTCTGTGTGACGCGGTCGGTGAGGACCTGCAGTGCGCGAGGCCCTCGGAGCCGCCTCGCGTGGAGGAGGAATTCTCGCTTGCAGCCAGCTCACACCTGGGTCTGCCTGCTCCGCTGACTGCCTCTGTGCCCCGCCACGTGGCTTCCCCCGCACCGCTGGGCCGCGCCCCGCTCCCCCCACACCCGCATGGACACCAGTGTCCCCGCTACTACTTCTGGGTCGCCTCCGCCCTTTCCCTTCCCTGCCTGCCCCTTAGAGCCGGACACTCCGCAGTCCTGTCCCCTCTTCACGCCCACGGCCTCGGCTGCCAAGCTCTCCAACCACTCGGCCCTCTAGCTCCAGCCCCCGTACTCCTCTCGAACCCGAGGCGACGTCCGAAGGGCGCGGAGTAAGCGGAGACCCTTAAACAGGGCCTGCTAGTTCACTCGGCTCACCCTGCGGGGTCTGCCCAGGCTCGGCCTGCACCGCCCTGCACCCCCCTGCACCCCTGCCCGGAACCCCGAGAGTCGCTCTCCTTTCCCACTTGCTTCTTGCGTGGCCTGGCCCCCGGGCCCCTGATCTCCCCCCCCCCCCCCCCCGATTCTTTCCAGCTTTGTGCTCAGCTTCAACCTAGCATGCGAGGCCCCGGGAGCCCTGCTCCTTACTTGTCTCTCACTTGGTAGTGGCTCCATTGCCCACACACATCTTCAATTCCCGCCTTCAGGTGATCCATCAGCTGCCAAACCGAACACAGGAAAGTGACTGCTGGGGGAACGGTGATTCCAAAAGCCACTCGGGGAATCTGAGACACCCCAGAAAACAAAGGAGGCCTTGATTGCCTGCAGCATTTCCTCTTTTCTCTCATTCTGTTGATGGGACTGAAACTCTTCATTCTTTTCACAGTGATTTAACTTCATTTCATGATTGAAAGACTGCCAAGAAATTTCGTTAATAACACGCATGACTGCACGGCCGGTGTGGCTCAGAGGACTGACCGTGGTGCCCTGGACTGAGGGCGCCAGTTCAGGTCCTGGGCAGACACATGCCGGGGCGCAGGGTCGGTCGTCCGTGGGGGCGTGCAGGGGGGCAGTTGACGTTTCTCTCTCACATCCATGATTCTATCTCTCTCCCTTCCTCTCTCTTTAAAAAATAAATTTTAAAAAAAGTAAAAATATAATAATGCATACGACTGCAATGGGACAGGGTTCTTTCCACTTCCTCCACATGGTATTTTTCCAGAATGATCTAAGAGTATCTCATTACTGAAATCACGCTGATATAAAGCCTAATAATTAACCATTACTTTTAATTTCATTGCAAAAGAAAAGAAAAAGCTAGTATCCAATTTACACAGTTCCTAAAAATATAATATTACAGATATTCTATTATAATAACATATAACAAGAAAATTTTCCTATGTGCCTAATTTTTTATCTAAAATTTTGTCTCAGTATTTATATTTCATACTGCATTTGATTTATAAAAATTGTTTAAAGGCATTTAGGGAAAAAAAGCACGATTCTTTCAAAATGTATAAATTGGTCTTTATATACTTTAAATTTGTGATTAAAGTTCATACTAGCTTCCAAATATTATCTAAATAGATTAAAATACTAAATTAATTCTGACATACTTAATTGATGAACATTCTACCACTAATGATAACTTTTTTGAGAAAAAATAAATTAGGGGATACCTAATTTCTATTGTCTTAGGTATATAATCTCTAACTTCTTAAAATAATGAGCAAGGGGATAAAGATAGAACAAAAACGTTTAATTAGGTTAAAGCATTACTGGTTTTAGAACACTGCTCCCTATCCTCACCTGCTGAACATTTTTGAATGACCCAGAAAATGTTGGTTTGGGTTCCCTGAAATTTAATTGCTTTACTTCCTCAGGTGACTTTGGCCATCAAATTCAGGGCTGATTTTGAAGGATTTCGGCAGTTTCTCCAGCTTTAGAATCATGAACTCGCAGGGATGAGAGAAACCGAGAAATGATCTGAGTCGATGACCCCTCAAAGCTTCCTCCTCCAGCATGATAACTACACCAAGGCCCAACCTACTGGCAAGGGCCCATTCAGCTTCGGGTGTGCCCCATGGGAAGCCAGTCAGAGTGTTCTACATCGATGGAGCTGAGGTCTGGCTCCCTGTCTCCTCCATCCATCACTTCTCATTCCTATCCCCCGGGGCACACAGAGTGGTACCCCTTCAATACTGTATGAAACTTCAGTAAACCAACAGGCAGGAACCTCATCCAACTTCACTCTCACCTGTCTGACTTGGATATTTTTCCTGGAACCTGCCCCTGGGCCTTGTCTGCAGAGGGAGTGGAAATCTTTACCCCTTTTAAATTCAGGGTTCAGAAAGAACAGAGGATCCTGTGTTCCACTGGAACAATGACTGTAGAACCAAGTAGGATAACCCTCAACATTAGCCACAGTGATAATGTTTTGAAGTGTCAATGGACCCAGGCTAGTCCTAATGATCATTAACAGTGAACTAGATACTGCAGTGAAGGCATTTTGTAGCTGTGATTGGAGCCCAGAACCAAGGGAGACCATTGCAGATCACTTGGGTGGGCCTGATCGATCGGCTGAGAGGTCTGGAGAGCACAGCTCCGGCTGCCCTTGCGCACAGCGACTGCAGCTCATGCCTAGGGCGCCCCGCCCTTCTGAATGACCTGGTCTTCAAATCTTCGACTGGCCTCGCCAGTCCCCACAGTAGGTAAGCAATTCCTTGCAATAAAGTTCTTGACATATATCTCCTACTGGTTCTGCTTTTCTCCTCAGAAACACTGTCAGCTCGGACCAACAGGAAGAGAGAGAAAACGAAATGAAGGAAGGCCTCCAGATCCCCAAAACTCAGCAGGCAAGAACCAGGCTGATCAAACTAACGCGCTCTCGAAACTGCCACCTTTGATGACAAGCCAGGCGTGCGCAGAGGGTGGAGTTTAGAACCAAGAAGGTGGAACGCAGACTCACAGAAGATTGTTCTCAGGTCTTGAAACCAAGGAGTTTTCCCAGGTGGATTGAAAGTCTGCTTGGGTTAGAGGACTCCTGTGTCCTTCCCCTCCCTCTGAGGAGTGTCTGTACCTGCTACCCTTCGACTGCCCCCAGTGCGTTTGGGAGCAGATACCTTGTTTCCTGTGTCACAGGGTAAGAACTGGATGGGGTTTGGCCTCAGGATGGGTCACACCCAGGGCCCCATTCATGCGTGACTTAGATGATATATTTGAAGCTTTTGAACTGGTATGATTTAGATTGGATTTTTGGTCTTTGAGTTGATGCTATAATAAATTGAAACTTTAGTATGTTGGAATAGAGTTCATGTGTTTTGCATGTGGAACAGACATGAATCTTTGAGGAACAGAGGGCAGACTGTGGTAGGCAGAGTAACGGTCTCCAAAGATGTCCACATATTAATCCTCAGAACCTGTGAACATGTCAATTCATATGCAAAAGACAAATTAAGATAGCACATGAACTAGGGTTGCCAGCCAGCTGACTGGAAGATAGAGCGAATATCCTGAGGTATCCACACGGGCCCGATATCATCACAAAAGTCTTCGATACGGAGGGGAGTCAGAGGCTCAGATCCGAGTGATGCCGCGTGAGGAAGACTGCCTGTCACCGCCGGCCATGACGCCAGAGGGGTCAGGGCCAGGAATCCAGAAAAGGCCAGGGCGCAGGTGCTCCCCTGAAACCTCCAGGAAGTGACGTGTCCTACAGCATCTTGATTTCAGCCTAGGGAGGCCCACTGTGAACTTCTGACTTCCGGGAATATGAGATAATAACTTTGCTTTTTTCGAACCACTGAGTTTGTAGAAATTTCTCACAGTAGCTGCGGGGGACTGGTAGTCTCTCTCGGTGACGCTGCAGAGGAAGGAGGCTATGTCTAGGGACATGTACCTGCAGTTCATCAAAGTCCTGCATAGGTGGCAAATAGAAAACATTTCATTAACTTATTAATTATGACAAAGAGATAACTTACACGAATGTGAAGCTCTTCGTTGATGGATTCTTTTTTATTAGTTTTTTTAACATCCAGGTACCTGACCAGAGGGCCAATTGTGATTCCCTAGATCATAAGTAATAAAATAAAGGATTTTGTTGTGGTGAAGAATGTCATTATAGAGAACAAATCTATTAGTGAAACAATTAGAACGTCCCATTTTTAGCTTCTATTGGATAGATGCTTCAGTGTTTACTTTAATTCTTATTTATTTCTTTTAAATTCTGTAATAAAGACAGGAATTATGTCTATATTTTAAAATAGGACTTTGGTTTTATACCCTAAAATAACTTCTCATTAGTTTGCCGAAAGGTAACTTAAGCTAAAAGAAAACTGTGTGTGGAGTACAAATTGGAACCTTATTTTTAGCAATATACAGTAGAGCAGCTATAATTGACCTGTTATCCACAAATAACTTGATTGATGTGTTTTACTGATTAGAAACCAACAGATTTTAGAGGTTGAGGGATGACCACAAACATGATCTAGAAATATTTGGGAATTTAGTTTGGGTATATTAGATAATTTCTCAAAATAATAAACAGAGGATATAAAGATCGAAAATCATGTCTGAAAATCTAATGAAGTGTACTTTTATGGTATTATAATAATTTAATACGTAATCATGCAAGTATCTACTTATTTCAAATATGAACTAAATCTACCAACCTGAATAAAGACAGTAAAATATATAACCACTAGAGTAGCAGTGACAAACATTTTCTTCCTGGGAAAAAGAGACAGAGGAAGCAAAAATGCCAGAGAAAAACTCCCAGCTCCTCGAACGCCGCTGTAGAAAACGATGCACTGGTCCTTGGCGGAGAAGGGGGAAGTCCGGAACTGGTTACTGATGTAGAAGAGAGCAAGCACGCCTAGAGGGGAGACGGGCGTTAGGGCACGAGCCGATCGACACTGCTGCTGAGCGGAGTCCTGCACCTGCGCCTTCAAAGCTAGGCACCCTCACTCCACCACTGTGCTTGCCCCCCAACAGTACTTCTCCAGGCCAGTAGCTTCCTCAAGTCTTCTGTGTGTGTGTGTGTGTGTGTGTGTGTGTGTGTGTGTGTGTATTTGAAGAAATAAAATCTTGATAATTTTGTTATGAGAAATGGCATTTACTTTCTCATCTCCACTCATAATTTTTGCTCTGCCTTTCAAAACAAGGTAAAGCAAGGGTCTTGCCTGGGGAATAAAAACATTTTTACCTTTCTGTGTTCTCAATGAGTAACCAAAGAAGGTGTGTAAGTTTCAATATGAAAGGAGACTTCTCAGCGCAGGTACCCACGGTCTCCCCTCCTCCCACCACCACACCGAAATCACAACTAAACTACAGCACAACCATCACTCAAAACCACCTGGAATCGAGCTGAATGGAAGTCCTACAACTACGAAATTAAAGCAGCAGCCACACTGAGACTGGTAGGAGGGTGGAGGCTGATGGGCTGGTCCCACACCCACATGTGGTGAACAGAAATCAGAGGACACCTTGGCTGGGAAGGTCTTCCCTGAGGACTGAGGGGTCCCAGCCCCACACCAGACCCCCCAGCTCAGGGTTCCAGTGCCAGGAAGAGAAATTCCATCACTTCTGGCTGGAAAACCAGCGGAAACTGAGGTTGAGGGAGGCTGACACTTCTGGAGCCCCAGGCAGCTCCTCTTAAAGGGTCCGCACACAGACTTACTCTGACCCACTCGCTCTGAGCTCCAGTGTAGGGGAGGCAACTAGAAAGGCACCAGGGACATATGGGGAAGAACTGAGTTGTTTGGCATTGGGGCGAGGGCTGGAGAGGCAGCTTTCTCCTGGACAGACCTGTTGTTCCTTTGGTGAGCCCTTCCCCTACGGGGCAGGCAGACAGCCGCCATATCTGGGATTCCAGCAACCTGGCTCACACTGTTTGCCCCACCCTGGTGACTCCCTGAGCCCTCCCCCCCCAACTTTCAGACCCACTCAAGCTGTTACCAGTTGCTTTACCACAATAATGGTCTGTCTTAGATTCTGCTTCAGATTTTTCTAAATTCTCACAAACAAGAAGCATCTGGCCTTAGTGAGCCCCATACCTCTCATTAAGTGGTCCCAAGCCTGGTACTGGAAGCAGCCAGCATTGGTTAACAATTTGGCTTTGCCTGGGCACCCCCAAGCCCAGCATAAGAAGCAGCCATCTGCAGATCACTTTGTAGGTTATGCCTGGTGGCCCCGGGTAGAACACAGGCAGTGGCTGACCTTGCCCCAGGGCCAGCACACCCAGTGGACAGCTTCAGAACACTGCGAAGCCCCACCACCCAACCACCTCCACAAGTGACACACTCAAGGAATGGAGTCTGTGGGTACCAGAGCCCTGCTGAAGTAAGTCTTGCTCTGTGTGGGGGCCCCTGCACAACTGATCATCCAAGGAGGTCAGGGGTCAGAGGATAGTGGGCACACCCAGTCCTTGCAGCTGATCAGCCTGAGTAAAACCCTCTCATTGATGTGCCAACAGCAATCAAGACTCAATTACAACAGAAGGGTGTAAAGTCCACACAAGGGGTGGACCTTGAGGGCCCAGCTGGAAGACCAGGGAGGCTGTGCCACAGGACCCTACAGAACAACTACTACAATAGGCCACTCTAGGAAGCCCAGGAGATATAGTAACTCTACCTAATACATAGAAACATACACAGGAAGGCAGCCAAAATGAGGAGACAAAGAAACATGTCCCAAATGAAAGAACAGAACAAAACCCCAGGGAAAAAATTAATGAAACAGAGATAAGCAATCTAACAAATGCAGAGTTTAAAACGCTGTTTATAAGGATGCTCAATGAACTTAGTGAGAACTTCAATAAACTTAGTGAGGGCCTCAAGAGCATAAAAAAGGAGCAGTCAGAAATGAAGGAGGCACAGTCAGAAATGAAGGAGGCACTAACTGAAATAAAGAATAATTTACACAGATTTAATAGTAGAGTAGGTAAAGCTAAGAAGCAAACCATTGATTTGGAATATAAAGAAGCAAAAAACACCCAATCAGAATAGCAAAAAGAAAAAAGAATCCAAAAAATGAGGCTAGTGTAAAGAACCTCTGGGTCAACTTCAAGCATACCAACGTTCGCATCTTGGGGCTGCCAGAAGGAAAAGAAAGAGAACAAGAAATTGAAAACCTATTTGAAACAATAATGACAGAAAACTTTTCTAACTTGGTGAAGGAAACAGACATACAAGTCCAGGAAGCACAGAGAGTCCCAAACAAGATGAAACCCAAGACAGATCATCATTAAAATGCAAAAGGTTCAAGACAAAGAGAGAATCTTAAAAGCAGCAAGAAAAAAGCAGTTAATTACATACAAGGGTGTTCCCATAAGACTGTCAGCTGATTTCCCAAAAGAAATGTTGTAGGCCAGAAGAGAGTGGCAAGAAATATTCAGAATGATGAAAAGCAAGAACCTACAACCTATATTACTCTATCCTGCAAAGCTATTGTTTAAAATTGATGGATATATAAAGAGTTTCTCAGACAAGAAAAAGCTAAAGAAGTTCATCACCACCAAACCAGTATTATATGAAATGTTGAAGGGTCTTCTTAAAGAACAACAACAAAAACACAAACAATAAAATGACAATAAATACATATCTATCAACAATTGAATCTACAAACAAAATGAACAAACAGAAAAGAAACATTCTCATAGATAGAGAGAACATTTTGTTGGTTGCTAAATAGGAGGATGGTAGGGGGAATGGGTAAAAAAGGTGAAGGGATAAAGAAGTACAAATTGGTTGTTATACTGACAAACTTCAAAGGGAAGGGGGGTGGGAGGTGGGAAGAAATAAACCAAAGAATGTATCTGCAGATATGCATAACCAATGGTCACAGATAATAGTGGGGGAAAGGCAGGAGGGTGGTGAGAGTGGGAAGGAGGGGCTCAATAGGGGGAAAAAACATGTGCAATACATTCAACAATAAAGATTAAGTTTAAAAAAACATGCAAATTTAAGGGGAAAAAAAAGAAAGGAGCCTTCTTGATGACTGTGGTTTGGTTCTTCCTGAGAATCAATGCAAGCAAAAAAAGATGTCGGCAAGAATTTAAGAGGAGGGCTTGTTGTCAGTAAGTCAGGGGTGAAGTGTGCGAGAGCTTGTTTAAAGCACAGAGGTACTTTCTACCACACTGACTTTCCATCCCCAACTGACCCACACAACTACTACCGTCAATGAAGTGGTTCCTGGTGGGAAAGGACCCTTCACTAACACTCTGACTGAAGAAGTTTCACAGCAGAATAATAAAGTTCCCAGCATCCTCATGGGTCTTCTCATCACACAGATTCACAGCGAGCAACCTTTGATTACAGGCATATTGATAGCACAAGAGTTACATTTGAATTTCTCCCTTTAGCATTGTTTGTCCTGGCCCCTCCACATACTCGCTGGTCATGTGACCTCAGGCCAGGCTCTTAATTATGTTATGTACTCAATGTCCTCCGTTGTTTAATGGAGGTAATAACAGCATTTCTATCAGAAGGTGGGTGTAAGGTTGGCATTAATTTTGTAACTATAAATAATTGTAAAGCAGGGCCTTGTATGTTACATGCCTTCATGAGTGTGAACTATTATTTGCTACAATGAGTCAGGCTAGAAAGAGCAAGGCTGGGACTGGAGCACTGGGTTCTGACACCGGGCTCTGCCTCCCAGTGTGAGGTGGCCAAGTCAGCTATGCTCTTGGTGGCTGTTCCCTCCGCTAGACCATGGAGTTAGGCTAAGGGTCACCAAGCATCAGTGATGTTGAAGGCTCCACAGTATCCGTCCTCCCCTAGATGGTTCTATTCTTGTTGGCCGGGCTGGAGCTCTGTAGTGTCATTTGTCTTGACGTGAGCTTTACTAACCCTGTGGATTCCTATCAGGTTAGAACTGAAAGAAACTTGGACATGTGTCCACATCCACCATTCTGTGAAGGAAGAATACTCTGAGTAGTTATTTATCTGTCTGAGGTCAAACAGCAGTTAGTAATAATGCCAAGATTTGATGTGAGATTGTAAATTTCTATCACAGTTCACTTAATTTTTTTCCCCCTTGAGGACCCAATAGGCACATATATTCAGCATAAGTTTTATGAATGTTTTAATATTTCTTCATTCTTATTTTTTCTAAGATCCTAAAACCCATCCTAAATTAATTTAGCATCGATATGCTCAATAAGTTCTCAGCCATTTCTCCTAATTTCTTTTTGAGTAACTGGCTTGACAACATTGATCAAAGTCATTTAAAAATGCTTCAAATATTAGTCAAATCATTGTAAAATATAATTGCTTCTAGTCAAAAGGCAACATATATGTTGTAGTTTAAAACTTAATGTTTTTTTTTTTTTTTTTCTAACTGAAGAAGCATAAAATAAGATAAATCAGTAGCCATTAGTCAAGACATCTCATTTTTAAAATATTTTTAGGGGTGATGCCAGTTACATTATATATAGAGTTGTCTTTACTCATGAATACTAAGCACTTCTTAAAAATAAAGATTCACTTCCTGGTCCTTGGTTTCTTTACATCACACTCAACCCTCAACTGAAATCATCTATATTATTCAGGAAATTCTTTTTAACAGCACTCGCCACACAGGGAATAAAGTTTTTGACACCTCACTGTTCCTGTAACAAAAGTGTAAATGCCTGCAGCTCATGATCTATATCTGATGTAAGGTGCGAGGGGGACCACCTAACACCAGAAGTGAGGAGCCAGGAGAAATTCACTGTTATATTTAAATGCACAGGTGTGAAAATTCTCTCTTCAGTTAGAAAAATAATACCTCTTGCTCAGGGGCCGAATCTTATCAGCCACTAGGGACGTTGAACTGATCGAAAGAGGAAACAGAACATTCCTGGTCACTACAGGTACCCACACTCCTCTGCCTGGTAAAACCAGTTAGCATCACCTCAATACTTATGCTTTATACTGCAGGAAGAAAGAAGAAAAAACTTTAAAAGCAGCAGGCAGGAGATCTGAGGGACCTGCTGCCCTTACTGAGGGCTCTCCAGATCTGGCAGAAGGCCAGGGTGAAGCACACGAAGGCCCAGTTCCACTCGTGGTTCTTCCCGACGGTGGACACGCCCATGAAGATGAAGATCAGGGTCTCGCTGACACTGCTCAGCATCTTCATGAAGTACTTGATGGTCGTGTAGGATGTCTGGGACACGTTTTCTTCCACGTACTTTTTCATCGTCACTGCACAGGCCGTGATTCTGCAGGAGGAGCTGAGGTCAGGGAGAAGCACAAGGTCTCGCCCCTCCTGCAAACCCCCTTAGCGGCGATGCCACCAATGCACACACCCTGTTTTCACCCCGAGAGACAGCTCTGACCTTCCTCTGGCTGCGGCTTTCCCACAGGTTTCCTTCCTCCCTCTACTCCCTCCTCCAGGGTTTGCACAGTCCAGTGGCGTGGAAGCGGGGCGCAGGGCCTCCCCCACACAACGGCAGGCGGTCGGCACCGCCAGGAGCTGAGCTCTCCCGCGCTGCCCTCCCTCATCAAGGGCTCCGCCAGCCCCCTGGTCTCTCCGCCCTCTGCCTTAAGCCGAAGGAAAGACACGGAGCTGCCTAGGGAGAGTAGTCCAACAAGGCCCCGTTTTCCCCACCTGGGCGATACTTCTCCCCATAACTCATTTATCTGTTCATTTATTTATTTAAATCCTCACCTGAGGAACTTTTTCCACTTCAGATAGAGTGGGAAAGAAACAGAGAGAGGGAGACAGGGGGAGATGGGGGGAGGGAAGGGGGGAGGGAGGGAGAGAGAGAGAGAGAGAGAAACATCGATGTGAGAGAAACACATGGATTGGTTGCCTACAGCATGACCCCAACCAGGGCCAGGGACCAAACCACAACCAAGTACATGTTCTTGAGCAGAATCGAACCTGTGACTCCTTGGTCTGTGGGCGGACGCTCTAATCCCTGAGCCAAACTGGCCAGGGCTCTTATAATTTAATGAGAAATTTTCACTTAAAATATTTCTGGTCTAGATCCAATTAGGAAGGTGTGGGTGGAGAAAGAACTTTGCCTTGTGTTAGTAGTTTTATCTTTTTTAAGGTGGGAAAACAATGACTGTCTAGATTTTAAACTATTAGATTTAATTAAAATAGTTATCTGTATACAATAAAATTAACTGTTCCTGCCTGAATAGCTGAGTATGAGAATAATGTCAAAGAGAAAACAACATGATCAGATATAATGAACCAAGTTGAGAAGCCTCATTCCAAGATCTACACAAGAATAAATAGTTTTTAAAATGTTTCCATTAAGAAAAAGGGAATCTGGACTCCAGCCTATTCCACCTGCCTAGTTCCACACACATGGCAGTCCCGGAGCGGACGCGCTCGGGACACGGCCAAAGGCAGGGCCCAGGAGCAGGCCACGGGCCCTCCTGGCCTGCCCCCTAACTTTAAGATAATGCATTTTTCAAAGAAAAAAATGTGCTGAGATGATTTAACCTTGGAGTTCAGTTTGTCTGCAGCAGCTTTTCTGATCTCTTTAACGTGACCTGACAATTGCTCTGCTCTCCTCAGCAATCAATCACCAGAAGAAAGCAAACAACAATGCTGGAAGAATGTTTGGCAAAGGACCTGAATCTGAGTCTATAAACGTTTAATAAACCTGAATCCTGCAACTCCTTTGAGAACTGGCATCAGCAATCAAGCCTTTTCCCCGGGCTGGCCCACGAGATGGGCTCCTAAATTCTTGCTCTTGGCAGCGAGGGTGGGCCCTTGGTCTGTACTCACGCCAGAATGCCAGAGAGATAGAGAGTCTCCGCAGCTAAGTAGGACAGGTAGCTGAACATGAAGACGATGAGCGGTTCAATTGCAGAGATATTCTGAGTGAAACGTGTGATGAATGCAGAAATGAATCCAAAAATAATGCCGAAAAGTACTCCCCCAACCCCCACAACAACGAATCGGGCACATCCAGCCAAAATGTCAACAGGCTCTATGCTTTCAAATTTGTGCATCTTTGTGAAGGCAATTAATATATTGTATAAGACCTGGACAAAAAGAAAAGAAAAAAAAACATGTATTAGAAATGAGGAATATTTTACACAGATTCTTAACTTTGAGTCTAGTTAAATAATACACAAAAATAAATGACATAAGTTAATATTGACACAGCTGCTTAATTTTTCATTGTGTTACAGTTAATTTAAGTGTCTCCAGTTTGTCTGCACAAGTATCATATGCACAGCCCTCAGCACCCAGCACCTACTACGTGCCAGTCTCTTGCTAAACTCTCTCATTATCAACTTGTTTCCTCTCATCTCCAAATGCACTCTCCATATGGGCTCTATAATAAACAATAGAATTCCTATAAATATTTCTCTCTTTAAAAAAAATTTTTTTCTTTATCGATATTAGAGAGAGAGAGGAAGGTAGAGGGAGAGAGAGATAGAAACATCGATGAGAGAGAACATCAATGGGCCGCCTCCTGCACGCCCCCCACTGAGGATCGGGTCCACAACCTGGGCATGTGCCCTGGCGGGGAATCGAACCGGCTACCTCTTGGTGCATGAGTTGACACCAAACCACTGAGCCACACCGGCCGGGCTAAGTATCTCTCTCTCAATGTGAGCACCGTGTTAAGCTCTCAGCAGAAGGACACTGCAGGAGGAAGGGTCTCCCTGCAACTGCGGCATGGTCTGGGAAGAGTCAGCCATGTAGGAATGAGAACTTCTGTGGATCCTGCCAGAGCCACAGGCCCTGTAAGTGGTCCCTCTGCAATGTCACATCTTTAGCCTGGTGACACATGGTAGAAGAAGCCCCAGCATGGCCCATGTGCAGCATACCTGTCGCCCAAGGGTCCACTTGAACAGCCCTCCCTCTGTAAGCCCCCACCCTGCAACCTGCTGCCCTCTTCCCTCCTGAGACTGGGATCCCACTGCATGTCTGGAGCTCCACTGGCCTCCCTGTCTGCCCTCTGGAGGGCGGGCAATTGTTCGCCCAGCAGTGCAGACCAGCTCCAGCCTGGCTGAACCAGCAGCTGCTCCAGTAGCTCTACACCCCTTCAAAGTGTGTTCTTTGCAGGCTGTCCCTCAGCCCTAGGCTGCCACAGAGAGTTCCTTACATCTGTTCCTTTATCGTTGCTGATATATTTTCTGAATTTTCATAGAATATATTGGGGTGACACTGGTTAATAAAATGATATAGGTTTCAGGTGTACAATTCTATAATACAGTGTATATTCTATTGTGTTCACCACCCAAAGTCAAGTCTCCTTCCATCACCATTTTGTACCTTCCTAATCCTCTTCTGCCCGCCCTCCCCCTTTCCCTCTGCTAATCACCACTTGCTGTCTGTGTCTATGAGTTTGGGTGTTGTTGTTTGTTTTTGCTTAATCTCTTAACATTCTAACCCAGCTCCCAACCCCTCTCCTCTAACTGCTGTCAGTCTGGTGTCTGTCTCTGAGTCTGTTTCTATTCTCTTTGTTAGCTTCTTTGTTCATTAGGGTTCACATATGCTGGTGGGGGCCAGTCAGGAAAGAGAAACCACAAGCAGGTTAAACAGTGGTTTCTCCTTCCTGAATGGACCCCACTGGCTGCACTTTCCAGATACGTCATCTCACCGAACCCCCAAATCTCTAGCCCGTGTGATGCCCACTGCCGATGCTTCTCCGCGTTCTCCACTCATTTCAGCATTTCTAGGAAGCCACAGTCACGCCGATCACTGTGCCATGTCACGTGGCCAGCCCAGAACTCAAACCAGACTGCGAGTGGCAGTGGTGAGACACGCGAGGGAAGTGAAGTGAGGACTGTGGGAGATGAACAGCTCCGAGAATATCAGGCCCGAAGGGTCCTGGGAAAGCACAGTGCACACTACTCAGCTCTGTGTCTTACGCTGTGACAAATAGAAACTCAGATGGGGCTGAACTGAAACTCAAGGAAATGGGGTCCATGACCTGTCTACGTAGCAAACATATTTTACAAAACTGGTATAATACTGGTCTATTTTATTTAAGCAAAGTGAAGCCACGTTTTAAGAAAAATCTTGGCTGCATAAAAGAGAATTATGGCTTATGGCTTCAGCATGAACCCAAAAGAAACACAGTGGTTGTATCCACGCCAGCGAGCTTGTTTAGCCCAATTTCACCTTTCGCCTGACCTCAGAGCACCTGCGTGTGGGTCTCCGCAGCCCCGAGTCTCCCACTTTGGGAGCTATGCTCCCTTCCAACGAGTTAAGTCAAGAAGGGGGGCAGATGCTTCTGCAAGACCCTGAAAAGTCAGGTCTGAATGCACTCAGCTGGGACCTGGGAGATTATTTGACTCTCAAACTCAGAGAAAACTTAGGGAATTCAACTATGACTCAAAGATTTGCATGTTGTTGCCACAGACAAACATTCTTTTGCATGGCTCTCCAGATGATAAGTAGCTGCCAGTCTGTTTCCAGGGCCTGGGAAAGCCATTCAGGCCCTCCCTGTCCCTGAATGCCAATGTGCCCTGCCCAGAAGATGCCACAGCAGTTTCAGAGGCTCACGTAGTACATCTAATTAAGCAGACCACGTTTATAGACACAATGCATATTGACTACATAAAAAAAAAATTCTTATCTTTCAAATGACCAGGCTCTGGATGTCACTGTGGTTGTAAAGATTTCCTTTGGACTCATTTGAATTCCAATGCGCATGTATTCTTTGCATGTTGGAGGTAAAGCAACCAATGCGCTGTCTCAGACACGTCCACAGCACTGACGGAAATCCAGGGCATTCACCCTCTTCACTCAGCGTGGCGCGTGATACTGTGATAAAATAAGCTGTGTGTGTAATACATACAGGGTACGGCAAAAGTAGATACAACTGTAAACTTACTTTTGCCGCTCCCGATATATACATTTTTGTCTTTGTCTTCTGACACAGACAGAAAATCAGTTTACTTCCTATTACTGTTTGTTTTAAATACAGCAGTCGCCTCAGACGGCCTGCAGCACAGGGCAGGGCGGGGCGTGGCGCTGGCTTCCGCCCTCTCCAGGCCCACCTCCTCCCGCACCCTCCCAGCACCTAAAAACCTTGTAACTTCTTTATTTTTAATCCTCACCTGATGATGTTTTTCGTTGATTTCAGAGAGAGGAAGGGAGAGAGAAACATCAGTGAGCGAGAAACATCCATTGGTTGCCTTCTGTAAGCACCCTAACCAGGGACTGACCAGCACACTCGGGGATGTGCCCTGACTGGGAATCGAACCCGCCACCCTTCAGCGTGCTGGCAGTGCTGCAGCCACCTGGGCCACACTGGCCAGTGCACAGTGTGCTTTCCTGAGTGCTGGGGGGAGGAGCACCTTTTGTTATTCATGATGAGCGCTTTTCAACCTCACTGGAGTTGACACTGACGAAGTGACTGGCTGGCCCAGGACAGCTTCAGGATGGGGGCTGGGTACCGGAGGAACCAATTATGTGATCAGAAGGTTGTAACTTTTAATCCCATCCTAGACCCTGACCCCTGCCCTGACCTCCAGGGAGAAGAGAGGAGCTGAAGATTGGGTTCAATAACCAAAAGCCAGTGATTGAATCAGTTCCGCCTATGTAATAAAACTTCCCCAAACCTAGGACAGGTCTAGGCTGGTGCTGGCAGGCGTGGAAGCCGGGGCCTTGCTGGGGCAGCCCAGGTGTCTCTGAGCTGGATCCTTCATAAAAACCAGGAGCCCTGGCTGGTGCAGGTCAGTGCTTAGAGTGTCGGACTGTGCACCTTTGGCCATGGGTTCGATTCCTGGTCAAGGGCACATACCTGGGTTTCAGGTTTGATCACCGGGCCAGGTCAAGCACATTCAGGAGGCAACTGATCAATGTATCTCTCACACTGCTATTTCTCTCTCTCCCCACTCCCCCTTACTCCATCCCTCCCTTTCACTTTTTCTAAAAATCAATGGAAAAAATATCCTCCAGTGAGGATTAACAAAATAATAATAATAATATAAATATATAACCAGTAATAGGAAGTAAACTATTTTTTTAGTTCTGTTAGCTGTTCCAGCAAATTATCAAACCTGAGGAGGGGACTGTGGGAACCCCAGCGTTACAGCCGGTCGGTGAGAAGTATGGGCGGCCCAGACGTCCGAGTGGAGTCTGAAGTGTGCGACGGATTTGAATTATGGTGTCTGTGCTGGTTCGGGCAGGTACTCTCAGAACTGCACTGACTCTGAGGACACCACTGGTGTCTGGACAACTGGAGACTTGGTTGACGTTGGGGGGAAAATGCTCACACATTTGGAGTCAGAAGCGGTGCTATAAACAAAGAACAGTTCAGAGGAGGTGTCTCGGGAAAGGATCCTTTCGTGTTAACTTTAACAAGCTCAGCAAATCCCCAAACTCACAGTGAAAGCAGCCCTTTAACAGACACCACTGTAGAAGTTTGCAAAGCCTCTTAACAAGAATGATAATAATGAAAGCTATCAGCCCGCCAACCAAGGCTTAGCAGAGGAGGAGAGCTGATTTAAATGTGATGAAATATTTTCCTTGTCAATTTATTGAGGAATAATTTACATATGATCAGCTACATCTAAAAAGAACGAATTCTGATGGTTGTGCACACCTGTACAATCACCACAGTCACGATCCAGAACAATTCCACCAACCCAGAAAAGTTCTTTTATCCCTTCCTGTAACCCTGACCTCAGGAAACCACTGATCTAATATTGTCACAATAGATTAATTTGTATTTTGTATAATTGAATAATGAAGTATGTCCTTTTGTGTGTCTGACTTCTCTAACTGAGTATATGTTTTGGGGAGTTATTCATACTATGACAGGTGTTACTGATTCATGCGTTTTAAAACACAGTCCGTTGTATGGCTATGGCACATGTTGTTTATCTAGTCACCTGGTAAAGGACACTGCTCCCTGCTCCCCCCTACTCCAGCTTTTGCTATTGAAGTATTGCTGCTATGAACATTCACAAAGTCTTTCCTGAAGGCGAATTTTCCTCTCTTTGGTAGACACCTTTGAGTAGAATTGTAAGCAGTGGGACAGATACAACCTAAAATTTTAAGAAAACTGCTGTCTTAG